CGTAGCCTATATAAAAGGCAGAGTTTTACCAAAGGCTAGCTTTCACTTTCATATTGAAGTGTGGTCACAAAGAGGACATTCTCTGCAGACATATCAGGTTTCATGAATCGGTTCAGTTACTATGAAGTTAAGAGGAAGCAGGGCTCTGTTTGAACTTGATTTCACTCTCTTTCAGTAATGAATGACTCACTACACTACCTTATCTAAAGTGGTCCTTTGGAAGACTGCAATATTTAAAATGCCTACATAAAAGTAAAACTATAATTTGTCCCCCCCCCCAACCCCTGCTGTGTTCAGGACGGAGAGGTGGATGCAGACGAGCTGCAGAGGTGTCTCACCCAGGGTGGATTCACCGGATCCTACTCTCGTAAGTCCACGACTCCTTCCACAAGAGAGACTGCCTCAGACAATATGAGTTCTTAGTTGTTTTACATCATGCATTTAACAAATGAGCAGAGGCCGTACTCACAAACTTAGAGGGCTTTAAAACACTAACAAAATGCCTAATAGGTCTTTATATCAAGTGATGTATTTCTCTGGAGGGGAAGTGTCAAACCACTATTATCTCCTCTGTGATTGGTTGACAGCTGACAGTCTCTTTCAGTGCATGTGAAAAATGAATATTCATTAGTATAAAGGAGAAGGAAGTGGTAGTTCACGAAATATGTGAGTATAAGTTGCAGATTACATACATGACGTAAAGTGAAGAGTATCTGAGTTCAATATTTGTGTTTTTTGGTGGCATAAGAGCTCACCAAGAAAATATTATTAGCAATATTATTATACTGCCTTTCATGAATAAAGACTAACAGTTAAAGACTGTAATGGATATTGCTGTGAGATTGAGAAAGTACACAGAGTTGAATACAAGCACAGCCTTTTTAACAGCATATGACTGATTCATTAATCAGGGAAAACAGATTTCGCCGTCAGCAGATGGATTAATTAGCACTAAAGTTAAGTGTGAAAACATGGACTTTAAACCTAGATTTACTAATTTCCCCCTTTATTTTCTCTTTACAGCATTCAACCTGGAGACTTGCAGAGTCATGATCGCAATGATGGATGTATCCTAACTTTAATACCAATGAGTCCCTCAGCTGCTCCTATTGTCCACTCACACTCACCATGGAAGTATATGTACAGTAGGCGTGGTGTTTGTCCTTGAACCGGGTTAACCAGCTGTTTCTATACCTGTGGGTCAGCAGTTATGAATCTTAACCCGAGTGTGTGCAGCGGGACTCCACGAGGAAGATGGGCTTGAACGAGTTCAAGGACCTGTTCGCGGCTCTGAACCTCTGGAAGCAGACATTTGTGATGTTCGACCGGGACAGGAGCGGCACTGTGGAGCCGCAGAAGATGGCGCTGGTCATCAACGCTATGGGTGAGGCTGAAGCATGAGGGAGGTTTATTGGGAGAGGTGTATGACACTTAATGAAGAAAAAAATGACTTAAAAGCCCAGACAAAATGCACTTGGATTCTGCGTTTTTAGGCCTGATATTAATCTTCTTCTGTGTTCCTCAGGGTTCATTCTCAGCCCTCAGGCTCAGAATGTGATCATCAAGCGCTACAACAAAGGAGGGAGGATCTACTTCGACGACTACGTGGCCTGCTGCATCAAACTGCATGCTCTCACAGGTACACACATCTAGAGATGATGTGACACGTTCCACTGAACACACTGCTGTCCAGATGTTTAATGTGGACTGAGCGTGAAATGTGTTTATTGACGCTGATGTTTCCTGTTCCTGGTGCAGAGAACTTCAAAAGGAAAGACACCATGCAGCATGAAGCCGTCTCCTTCCAGTACGATGACGTGAGTCCTGTGTCCTGTGGAGATATCACTGCATCACATAGCTTAAGTCCAGATGTTTCAACTCATAGCCTGCTGCCTACTGATTGAAGAATTGAATTTGGCTCCACCTGACCTTTATTCTTTAGTTCCATGTAGCTGCCGCTTACCTGCATATGAAACGGCTCAGAGCAGCTTCAAACACCATATCCTGTTGAGGTGCTGAGGTTAATTCCATCTCTCTTTCTTTCTGTCACCAGTTCATCCTGTGCACGATGGGCATCTAAGGCGGCACCGACCAATCAGAGGAGGAGTCTGGATCACTGCCTCATGGGAATGCAAAGGGAGGCCAGTATTTTTGACTGAGCTGCAACAGGAAAGTACTCATGCTTGTAACGCTTGCTGTTTAGTCTTGTAAGTCACACAGGGACGTGCTGAATCAGGCGCATATATAAATCTATATAAAGCCAGTATGTATTCACATTAGAGGGAATTAGAATAATTTATAACTCATTTAAAAAAATCTTCGATTGGATGCCAGAGTGATGCTGGATGTGTCGACCTGTGAGACACCTAATGTGCCATTATAATCTGAATGTACGCTAATATATGAAACTCGCTTCTAGAGAGCCTTGTCAGGCAGCATCATGATTAATGATGAAATATTAGCAGCATTTACACAAAACATGTTCATATGCCTTTACACTGAACTTGATATGGTTATGGTTTTATTAGAGCTTTCTCCTTTCTTGCCATATTTTTTATTTCTGTTTTTTTATATAAGTTTAGATTAGCTTGATGTGAAAGTTGATAACGAGCCAAAGTGACTGTGATAACTGTTATAATGCTAGTGAGATAAAGCCTGAGATTAGTGCAGCTTCACACTTTGTTTTGAATGTTTCCCTACAAACACAGCTGGTTGTACTTTTTAAAGATGCCCTGCACACTCCTAATGCCATAGTTCAGATCATATTTTGTTACCCACAATAAACACTTTCTAATCAGTATGCATTCTGTTTATTCATTTATACAATTGCGCATTTTTTTCCCAGTCTATTTACATGATATTTCATTTATTTAAATATAGTTAAGAACAGAAACATTCAAATGAGCTGTTAAGTGTTGCATTGTATAAAATACAGTGGCAAACATTTAAAAAAATGCATAAAAACAATTGTGAACAGCACTAAGTATTTCAAAAGGGACATTGTTATCCAGTACAGCAAGTTTTCTAATCTGTGCAAAAGTTAGCAAATCCCATGGAAAAGTGTTCAGGACGCGTGGAGTCTATCGGCGTCAGCAACCTTTGTTCTACATCTGTGCTCGAGAAAGAAAGATGGAGGACACCCTGCTGGAGCATCCGTGTGGTTTCTCTTTTCCTAAATAAGGTTTCCCCGGGTTTTAACAAAGTAAAGAGTTGGGTTGAAGAAGTAGAAATGATATGATGTGCAATATGAATGTTTCATGCAGCCTAAAGCCCGTCACTGAAGTGTTGCTTGCTACATTGAGAGGCTGTACATTGCATTCATCTTCTTCCCTTCTGCACTCCAAAGCCTTCCCCTCAACATCTCGGGGGAAACAATAAGGTCATAGAAAAATAATGGCAAATGAAACTTTGTTTTAGAAAAATAGGTCGAAGCGTTATTTCTAAATCTCCTTCCAAATGTCATAAACAGTTTGAGACCTTGTTATAATTGAGTGCAGTCTCCATGCAATACATGAGCTTGTGTGAGAGTGTGTGGTTAGGAAATGACTAATTCATTTTCCTCATGCACCCTAACGTGGTTCCTTTAAATGTGGCGCTGTTGCACCGGGTCGCCGTCGTGTGTCAAGGCTAGAGCAGGCGTTTAAAGCTAAGGCTAGTGAAGGCGGCCCGAAAACATGGACAACTATTTTCTCTTTTTTTTGTCCTTTTCTCCTGGTTTTTATCTAGGAAATTGTACTTTTTAAGAAGACAATGGAAGACCTAAAGCATGCAACTGAAAACTATCACGTGGGATCGTCAGAGTTCACTCAGGGTGTGAAGGAGATTCAAGATGTCACTTCCTGTCGGTTAGCATATGAAGGAGAAATGACAGTGTATTAGGGTGTCTTTGGGTCAAAAATAAAGAACATTATAGAGAAAACACATGGATATTCTCTGAGTTTTAAGTGGTTCATTAACAAGAGAACACTTACAAATATTTTCTCTTAATAATTTGCAAGAAAGTTTAAATATTTTCTAACAGATTTAAGTCCCTACTTCACTGAAAACAACTTCACATTGCACACCACAGCTTTGCAAAGTGAAGGTTTACCCCCTGTTCTCCAGATTCATATCTTTCAAATTCATTCATTTCCAGCTACAATGGCCCTAATAGTAATGTAAAGAAACACCCGCAGAACGCTGACCCTTACAAGTCCAGAGTGAACTGCAAACCCCCCACAGCCATGCTTCTGTTATATTGATAGGATTCAGGTGGTTATATGGTAAATATGTGTTTTTAAATCTAATAATTCAAGCATTCAATATGTTGTCTGAAACATGTGAAGGAACATAACTGCAGCTGAAAGAGGCTCTTTACTTTGTTCACGTGTAAAATGATCTCCAGAGCGGATTCGTCTCTAGAGATATGAGATCGTTATTGATCTCAAAGACTGACGTGTGTGTGGTTGTGGGATGTCTGCGCAGCCTCACACACTGCGCTGTGTATTCTCAGCGTTGTGGTGGAATCAGGCATGCTAAATATAGCGGCAGATCTCTGCGTGGACGTTTTGGAGCTGCTGATAGAAAGATCAGAGCTTGTGGAAATGCCTCGGGAAGATTTTCATGTAGCTGATTCCCTGGGGGGGGGGGAGGAGCGTTAGAAAAGAGGTGACAGCTACAGAGGTCCTGGAGGGAGTCAGAGTGAGGAACATGCCACAGGAAGAAAAGCAACCGTCAGGACGTAAAACATGCATATCTGTTTTAGAAAAAGCACATCAGGTGCCTCGTGTTGCTGGCAGTGTTCTATAAAGTATGTACACGGTGGATGATGACTTTACACGTGGTAATAATATAGTGTATAAATACCTCTGTATAAATTGTCTTTATACATTTAAATCAGAGAGGGGCGGGGGAGAGAGTCCGTAAAAGTAATGGAAGAAAGTCTACAGTTGCCTTTGCATATACAGTCTCTTTCTTAGACCCTGAGACAAGCTTGAGAGGAGAGGTGCGGGGGGGGGGGGCTAGTTTCCTGGGAGCCCCGGGTCAGACACAGGCCGCTGCAGTGCTGACGGTGCTGAGCCCACTTCAGGCAGGGAGGCTTGTCGGCCTGACGGCAGCCTCTGGTGGGGGGGGGGCTCCACAGAGCTGTCCTGTGTGTGTCTCTGCTCCGAGACCCAGTCTGTCTCCAGCAGGGAGGCCACGCCCCCGTCTGGAAGAGCGTCGGGTCGCAGGAGCACCGGGGAGCCGTCTGTGGATCTGTTCGGGGTCTTCTCCGGGCTCTGGAGGAGAAACACAGCGTGAAGACGGATCAGAGTGAGCACACTGTTCAAACCAATGCCCTTACAGGATTTCAATATTTGCAATATATGCGTTTTTTTCCTTAATGTCTTGAATCTGTGGTTTATTACCTGAGGCCGGGGCGGAGCAGGGTCCAGGCTGAACTCCGCCTGCAGGGCCGACACCGGCTGCACCCTGATGGCCGGCCTCTGGTACTCCGGGCTGGAGGTGACGGTGCTGTAGGCGGGGGGCCCGGACGTGGTCTGCCTCTGGAGGAGGTGCAGGATGGCCTGGATGTCTGAGGTCATCTGGGACTCCAGTCTGACAGGAACACATGGAATCAAATCACACAAAGGTATGTGGTTCATCACATATGGAGGATGTATCACTCACATAAATACAGGAAGTGTTGATGCACCATGCAGTTATGTAAAGGAGCAGTGTGACATCACTCAGAATCAACATGCATGGTGAGGACTAAAGAATATTTAATATACATCATCAGGTTTTTCATCATATTGGAAAAATGTGACAATGTCAAATGTACATACTGTATGTCTTTGCTACTATGGGATGGCGGTGGTGGTGGTGGTCAATACTGATACTAAACACTAGAGGGAGACTCAGCCTCACATGGGGGTTAGTATGGAGGATTATACTAGCATGAGTCTGAAGTATTCACACCCTTTACTTGAGTAACATACATTATTACAAGTTGAATAACTGCAAGTATTTTATCAAAGGAAAAATAACTTAAATATAAGTTACTGCAGCAACAAAACAGACGAGGATACGACAGTAAAGTGAAGTTTGTGTTCTGTTTTGCAGGTACCAGGAAATGGAGCACCTGCACCGTTTCATCCCCCGATGCAGAGTTACATCATGGCGTCTCTGAGGGGGTGAATCACCTTTCCTCCACACATTCCTTTTTACAGCAGCAAACACAGGATGGAGAGGGAGAGTGGGGGAAGCCTGCCAGGTGGCTGTTTGCTCTTTAGAGGAGAATACGTGCAAATAAACCCAGTGTCTGCAGCTGTACTGTGATGCAGTGCACCGAGTGTGACTGGTGGGGGAACTCTCTGAGCCATGTTCCCTCCATCAGTGAACATCATCTCCCCAAACTGTGCAACTCCTCCACCCCTCCTCACATGAGGACGTCCACAGTCTATGGAATGTGTCTGCATCTGCATGCTATATATACACAGTCTGCCCTTTTGAGGAAAACTCACTAATGGCACATAGACATGTTGAGGGCTGGACCATTAATGGCGCATTTCCACCATGGCGCGGAGCGCGCTTTAAGCGTGCCGTGTCGTGCCGTGCCCGTTTTTGGTTGCGCTTCCACTAGGCCTAGTTACGGCCCGGCCCGGCCCGGGGCCACTTTTTCACCTCTTTTCTGGCCCGACAAAATTGTGGTTCTATCGGGGCCAACAAACAGGGCTGAGTCGGGCTGAGTATGCTAAACTAGAGAGAGGATCGCTGGCAAGGGGGCTACAACTACAACAAGATGGACATATTTGACCGTGATTTAATTGTAATACACGTTTCAAAATGATGCCGAAGTAACAACATACTGATACCGGTTAGTAAAAACCATGAATTAATGCTTTGGCAAGTTTGCAGACAGACGGCAGGCGAAAAACCTTTTAAAATGCGTGTTTTCTAGATGGAGATTGGCTAAGCTAACGCAGTATATGCTCCGACCGTCCACACTCACAACAACGGCCTATACAGACATAAATAAAGCAGCGACTGTATTCACCATGACACAGGCAGTCTGTGGTGTGTACTTGTTTAATTTTTGTCGAGTTTCTGAACATATATAAGGAGCTGTGAGCTCTGAGTGCTAACAACTAACGGCTGTGTTGTTCTTCTGGGGTTCTCGTTGAAGATGACGTCACGGCTCCGCCTACACTGCGTTACTATAGTAACTACCCCAGTTCCTAAACTGTAATGGAAGCGCAGCATGAAGTGAGTCGGCCCTGTTAAGGCCCAACGCGGCCAAGCCGTACCGTGCCGTACCGAGCGTGGCCGAGGCCGACCGTGTGGTGGGAAATGCGCCATAACTGTCATCTGAAGTCTGGTGGTGTTTTGACCATTTTCATATCAGTTACGACAATATCGTGTTTCTTGGCGAGGGATGCGTTTCCATGGAAACAGCCTATGGTGAGATCTCAGATTTGGCGTAGGGCTGTTGAGGCATGGACCGGTGATATACAAGTGAAGATTGGGGGACGATTGGACCGTGTCGATTGGACTTACAGCGACATCGTGTTTCATGGCGAGTTGTCTGTCGCCATGGCAACGGCATTTGATGACACCCCATAATACGCTTAGATGCGTTGATGGCTGCATCGTTACCAAACCTGTGAAGTTTTGGGCTGTTTGGAGTATTTTCACTGAAGTTATGATAAAACCATGTTTCAAGGCGAGCATTGTGTTGCCATGGCAACGGCATTTGAAGAAATCTCAAAACTGTCCCGTAGATGTCTTCACGGCTGGACTGTTAGCACACATGTGAAGTTTGAGCACTTTTTGAATATTTTCATAGGAGTTATACATTACATTAGGAGGTTACATTACTCTCTCTCTTCTCTTGATCGCCCTCTCTCTTCTCTTGATCGCCCTCTTGATCTTCCGCATATGATGATGACACCCCATAATTGACGTAGAGCTGTTGAGGGCAGGACCATTAACCTTTATCTGAAGTCTGCTGCTCTGAGTGAATGTCAGTTGGAGTGATGACATCATCGTGTTCCATTACACAGGTGTTTATAGTTGAGCTAACGAGCTCTGCAGAGATCATAGGTTCTATTTCATACTTACTGACCGCCAGAGGCGGTGCTTTAGCATCCAGTATTCATAGAACCGTAGTTACATAGGTAACTATCGTTTCCATTGTTCTGAATCAGAGATAAACCTCTTACATGTGAACGTTTTGTGGAAGAACCGTAACAGATATCTGTGAAATTTCAAAACGTGAAGCATGTCAAGGAAGTTGAGTATCTGAAGTGTAATTTGTGTGTACTTTCGGGTTAATAATGTGGCCTTTTTGGCAGTTTAACTAAAGGTGTGCGGCTGCTGCTGTGAGGAAATATCAGCCTGAAATTACAATGGGTTTTAATGGAGACATGTTGAAAGTTTTTGTCACTTCATGCCCTCAAGAGGCATTTTGTTTAATTATTTTTTGCTTAATTATTTGTCATTTTTCAAGCTACGAGATGTTTTCCTACGTTTGTCATGAAAAATTATGCCTCAGGAATGTAGGGTTTGGGAATTATGGCAGTTTAAAAAAAATATATGAAGGCAAATTTCAAGATTTCCTACACTCTAGCTGTGACATCACGCACTCTGCCTTAACGAGCTGCGCAATGTTAAAGTTAAAATGTTAAAAATGTGATGTATTATGGGATGTATCTCTGGAATTATGAAAGTTATGAATGATAAAAGTAATAGCCTGCGATTCCCGACCGAGCTGAACGTTTTGATGTTTGAACGGAGTTTCTGCGATGTTGAATGTGGGAGGAGAAGAGGGCCAAAATAAGTCGGTGGAATAATACACTTTTTGTCCGTAGCATAACATATAGTTGGAATGCTGTATCAGCATTCCCACTAAATAACAGTGTTTCCCATACATCGACATACAAACCCCACAGATCCTCAACTCCGGTGTGTCTCACTCATTAAGGCGAGACACGGCAGGCAAAAAACATCGTTTTTCATGCACTGGTCAATTTTGATATGTTGTGCTATTTTGATTCCATAACATGTTTTCTTTCAGGCTTTTGGAAGGAAAATGTACAAAATACACATTTAGGTGTTTATTTGACTATAGTTTGTCTATTTGCGTCTGTAGGTTTCTCCTAAATGCACCAAAAGTTAGCTTTCTAACGTAACATAAAGTACCGCGACAGCTGTTTGGACCATGTAATCAGAGGTATCGTTGGAAAGCTCCGTCTCTCCTGCACAATCTCATCGGTTCCAAATATGGTAATTTCCTTTGTATTAGCAACCAATCGTGAAAGTACAAAGGGGTCTTAAACCAAAAAACTAAATCTCATTGGCTGGTGTCAATTTTGATAACGTGATTCGTTCAGATGCGTCACGTGGTGTGCTAAAACACTTCTTGGTTTAGCTTTCGCTGGAAATTTAAATCTCAAAATGGCAAAAGTTAGACAAAAAACAAATGATCCCGAACATGAAATACCTTCACGGAGTGCGTCGATGCGCAAGTTGTCATCCAAACAAGAACAGGAGGGTTTAGGGAGCGCCTCACAGCAATCTTTAAAGGTCGTTTTCTCAAAATGAGTTTTTTCTCATATTCTGAGTCAGAAATGTCCACTTCAGTAGCACTTACATACACCAAACCTTCCAGTTATATTCCTATCAATATTCTGAAGGTTTTTACAGAAGGGTTTGTTTATATATCATTCATAGCCTGAATTATATAACATGTTATACCCAGCCAGGGGTTAAGTTGGGATTTGATATGTGGGGGGGCTCTGTGTGGAGGTGCGAGAGGGGGGCGGAGGTCGAGGATCTCATTTTTTTACCTTAAGGCCCTAAAGCAACTGCTCCATTATCTGTATGAAATGCACACACTCCAAATGTCACAATAAAAATAGAAAGTACTACAAATAAACTGGAATTCATTTACATCTTAAATTATTAATATATACACAAAAAAAGGTTTACAAATATCCAACCTTCAAATAGCTTTTTTTAAATCAACACTGCTCTGCACACTTGCTAAAGAACATTTGTGTGGAAATCTCAATTCATTTGTAGAGCTGCGTGAGTATGGCCAAAAGTATGGGAGTAAATCTCACTGTAAACTATTTGATCATCACTAAATTCTGTGTTATTATGACCGATCATAACTCAGCTTTATGCAGACATACATTTACCATGGTGTACAGGGCCGGTTTTTGGCATAGGCGACATAGGCGGTCGCCTAGGGCGCCAGATCTGGGGGGGCGCTGCGCTGGCAGCTCTGGGAGGGAAAAATAAATTTTTGACTGTTTGCGCTCATCCTAATTTTCAGCCTTGATGTAACAACATTCATAATTAAGTAAATGTAACACCCTTTTCACCCCGGTTACAGTTTTCATTTGCCCTGTACGATGGGCGCTGTAAGTGATGAAAGTGGGGGGTGTTGGCTTATCAGGCGCCCGCAGCTCACAGCCAATGTGGGCGTGGGAGCGAGCAAGAGAGATAAATGCAATTTATGTAAACAAATATTTCCAAGGCACTCCTTTATAATTATTGGGATGAACAGGTTTGAAATCATTCCAGTGTATACTATAGGACAGTAAACCAAAAATATCGTTTGAAACTTGAGAGATACAAAAATAT